CCCCCCCCCCCCCCCCCCCCTCTCCCAGTACTATCTGTCCATCTCAGAACCTTGAAAAAACAGTTCTGAGTTTTTTACGTACTAACTTCTTGTTATTATTTATGTTTCTTTTATTTTGAAGGTACTACATGAATGGAATAGCGGGAAGTTGCGGTACTACACCCATCCACCGGAGGACACTTCGTCTTCATCAGCACCTGAGACTGGTGTTTCCGCCGAAATAGTAAGCCAGTTTAGCAAGGAGTTTGACATCGATGGTCTCGATAGTGATTTGAAGCAACTGGTGGAAGGTTGGTCCCCTGAACGATTAAAGTGTCTTTGGTGCATGTCTTCAACTCAGTTAAGTTGTAATTGTAATTGTAATAATTATAATTGCATTACAATTGACAGGCTTACCAATGGAAACAGACGCTACTTTTGTTCCTTATAACTCATCAAATGAAGAAGATGACGACAAAGATGCAGAAATGGTTGTTGATCAAGAAAGTATGTCGCCTTGAATTTTCTCGCGAGCAGCCTCTTTCTATTTTGTGAAAACGTCGCAAAATTTGAGCTTCATTTACAATCCATCCCATTGTTTATGCTTTAAGATCCCTCCGTAGTCGTTAGCAGTGGTCGCAATAAGAAGACGGATAAGGACCTCACAATTGCTGAGTCGGAATCATTACCAACTAGCTTGGAGATAGATGGAAACGTTCAGTTGAATCGCGCGATAAAGAAGGTTCTCAAGAAGAACAAACGAGCTGCAAGGAAGCAAGGTATGTGCCGTAACACTTATATCACTACCAAAGAAATTATTTCTTTATTTATTACGGTCGTTTAGCGAAACGTACGGAGAAATTGGCTGAGGCTATGGATATTACTTCTTTATGAGGCACAGTTTGGACAGATTCGTTGTTTATGAGCATTCGTTGTTTTTTGTTGATTTTCAAATGTTTACTCTGGTTTTGTCTGAGGATATGGAGATTAGTTCGTTTTTCTTTGTTGTATGTGCCTGTTTGTTTGATTGTTCTCGTTTTCTGGCTGCCTGAAGCCAGGATAAACATTAAATTATCCGTAATGGTTTCATCAAACACATTATCGTTCCTAATTTCCTGGTTGGCTTCAATAGCATCGAGATGGTGTATTTATGGGTACATGTGTTCTTTGTTCCTGGAAGTGGCACTTCTCACAGGTTGTCAGGATCCCAAGATTGATTATTGGCGATTAGGGCACCGTATACTGCTTGCGGGTCATTGGGTCGGTTTCGTCGTGCTATGTGGAACTACTACGAGAAGTTTCTAGAAAATTTTTTGGATTTGGGAACATGAGTTATGACTTGCTCTGGGTAGAAAATAAAACATCATAGCTAGTGTTATGAGTAATCTACTTCTGACGCTAATTATGGACAGCATTTCGATAAATACTGAATGCTAATAACAAATCAGCTGCTCACTGCACAGGTGCATTTACATGCGTTCAGTTACTCTTCAATTATATTACTTCCTTGAATGGGCGTTTTTCAGAGATCAATGAAATCGGGTAGGATGACGAATTCAGAGATCACCCTTGTCATGTCCCTGAGACCAATAAAAAGAAGCCACGGTCAGGAATTTATCCCACCCGGTGTTCTATCGAAATTGCAGCACATTCAAGGGTATCTTTAACCCGGGGTCTAGTCCATGGAATTTTAGTTATTGTCAGAACGTAGTAGCCCACGGCATGGTTTCATCAGTGATGGGTAGTTTTCACACGAACATAATTACCCATGCGATCGGCTAATTGGGTACAACACACTTCACGGTGGAACTCACTAAACCTGCTACATAGAGGCTGAGTTTGGGATTAGATAACTCCTATAACAAGGGCACCATATTCCTATGTTTACAAATGGGAGTGTGGATGGATAGTGTTTACCATTAGCTGCTAGGAGAATTTGCCATCAAAAGGTTCAATCACGCGTTAGGTTCCCGCTTGTCCCTCCTTTTCTCAGGAAGATTAGCTCTATCCGTTAATCAGCTCCTGTCCGATCCTCTAGCCCTCCTACCCTCTCTCATGGTTTAATATCGTCCCAGATGAGACAGAAACGAAAATTCAGTATGGTACTCGGCTCTTACAGTAATCCGGCACGGCATAACCCCGTTTTTACACGCAAATTCTCAACGGTCACATATACGACGCGTCGTAAAGGGGGATAGGGGGTTACTGTAAGAGCCGAATGCCAGCTAGGAAGTAATTCAAAGAAGATACTCATTCCTCTTATACAGTTTCTATTTTGCTCTTCCCTGATATCATCTGAGCTATCAGACCTGTGTATCCCTTAATATTTAGTTCCCTTATTCAGGGTTAGAATGGAGATAATTTGCTACTGAAGTAATCCCCCGTCCTTCCCTCTATTTCCTCCACCATGCTGCCCTTATGGTCCGACCTCTTGGCTATTTTCTCCCTTTCCCAACCACAAAGTCGACTTCTCCCACTTGATTGTCATAGCCGAATCCTTCAATTCTTCCCATAGAATGGAGGAAAACCTTGTTCTTCACTTCTGTCGAGAAACTTCTATTCGCAACTCTTTACTATTATACACAGATATGCATTTCAATGTAATAAACGAGTGACAATAATGATAGTATCGCAACAAAATCGATATGTAGAAAAAATAGTACAAAATCGACAAAAATATGAGATAAAACAGCGGAATGAGTAAGCTACCAGTATAAAAAAGTACAAATAAAAAAAGAGATTGAATTATCCAAAAATACAATATGCTAATCAACTAATAGACTTCACAATCTTTAAATAAAATGAACATTCAGGCCACCCTCACATGTTCAGCCCTTCTATGCTACGTGCATTTCGAAATGGACACTAACCCCAAACGCGTAAAATCAATTCCTATCAGTTAAACAGACCCCAGTGGAAGGGCAAAACTGTGAAAGTACCTTACTCATCAATAGACAGTACATACAGTTATAGAACAGTGAGCTGAGTATTTTCGGCAGTCAGTGTCTCGTCATTAGCGACCGGTGCCAATGGTTCAGGAATAGATCCTGGACTGCTAGAAGAAGTAACTGGACTAAAACCGAAAGGAATTGTAGTGTAGATTGAGCCAAAATTTTGGTCATAGATATTTGTTGGCATTTTGTAGATGTCTTTCACTTTGTTCTCTACACAAGAAGGTTCCGATTTGATTACTGGGCTAGGAAGAAAAGCAGGCACTGATTCAGTGGCAGCCAGCCCCAGATTGGCGAAATACGGTGGATATGCCTGCGGTGAATGTCCTTGTAGGAGACCGGAGAGCACTTGATGATTCTGTTGAATTGGTGGGCTAGCTGGCTTCACTTGAGATGACACAGTGGCGGCCGTAAGATCGCCAGATGGTGACGGTGACATCAACGACGATGACAGCTGAATTTGAGGAGCTTAATGCAGCAGGTCCTATGGCCCAAACAGAGCTACGGGAAGGAAAACAAACGATGGATGACTCACGCTATTTTCCAGAACCGATTCGTCCGCAACAGAAACATTCGCAGAATCAGTTGGGCTTCGTTGAGGGCTGAAATTCGACAAATCTGCTGTCAGGCCTTCATAATTGGATTTTCTTAAAACTTGAGAAAATTCGACACACCTGTCAGTCTTCTTTTCTCTCTTGTCTTTTGCTCGTCTGTTCTGGAACCATGTCTTCACTTGGGCTTCTGAGAGACCAAGTAATTCAGCGAGTTGGGTCCTTTTGTCACGGACCATGTAACGCTCCGAAAGGTATTCCTGAAATTGTAATCACAGCTACAGTATCACGATTGAAGTCAGGGAACGGTTTCCTAAGGTGTAAATCCAGTTGAGCACTTGGAGGATGGCCCTCGGTATTGCGTAATGATCTGGGGACGCCCCTCCTATTCATTTGAAGGCACTGGGAGACCTATTAAGCCCAGATAATGCCTTACAATGTTAGGCGATATTCACAGTTCCCATCTCTGGTACCAACTATTAGCCCGGAAAGGTTAAAGAGCTTCGTTTACCCGGGCGAAAATCGATCCCTTGGTCAAGTGTAAACAACAAGCTTCGCCTCCAGCTACTGATCTACCTATTCCTTGGAATTATAGCACTGAAACTATCCTTTCATTAGGGCCCCATCTAGGCCGATAACGTTAGTTCCCTCAATTTAGGTGACACTCTTCTCATTTGGGGTCCGTTAATTGACTACCGACTGGGAACGAGGAGAATTGGAACGTCGGGATTCCCATTAAGTGCAAGCCCTCAACTAATTGCGTGACGTCACTATTAATCACATTGCAATGGAACGTCTTTTTAGAGCTTGGTAGCCAATCTATTGCTGCGTTCGAATCACGAAGAGGGTGGTGCAGCGGCTACAAGAGCTTTGCAACGGCTGCAATCTTTTTTGGGATCAAAGTCCACCTTAACCAATTAAGCCATCCGCTATTAATGAATAGTTTATTGCACATCTTTTAACTGGGCATGGGGAACACTATTTCCAGTTGTTAGAGGGGTCTACAACTCGTTACAAAGTTTATTAAAGTTGATTTCGTATGGCGGATTGGTGCAGTGGCAAGTTGTGCGTTATCACACACTCATTGCCTTTGGATCGAATTCTGGGCCCAGATCAACGAAGTCTTCCATCTCTCCACAGTCGCCAGACTGATTTGATGGATAAAGGAAGAGAATAGGGTCTGGGACACCCCCCCCCCCGAGCCAATGTGTATACCACACACTCATTCAAAGGCTCCACGTGACTCTTAATGGAAGTCGAATGCGGGGCGTATTCCACGAATGGGGTTCCTCCATTCTATACGATCAATGTCGAGTATTTCACCCTTTCCGCCTCAGCAGGCATTTCGTATTTAGTACTTGTAATTAAACTGCATAACAAATTGCCTTCGAATGGCCTCTGCGCCAGCTGCTCCCATTCTCATAACCATTGGTCAAAGATCTTTAATCATTGCCTTCATTTATGGTGATATTTCGTTTCGATTTATGGCTGGCAAATGGTTTGGGTTTAATTGAGCCCTGAGCTCTGTAGTAAGAGGAGGAATGTGTACCGCCGCATGGGACCGCCCCGAGGCACTAATCTAGCAATCTACTGCACGGGCGTTTTCAGGGAATAAACATTTCCTCGTGCACGATAGTGATTATTGCTGTGAGCATCATTGCGAAAAGCAATTAGCGCGTGTGCTATCCGAGGAACGAGTGAGTGCCCACGACGACGACGACAACGAGGATGACAAACCTCTCTCTCGTCTAATCCCATCCCATCTGCAAAGTACTCGAGTACAGAATCGTGAGAATGAAAACGCTGCAAAACGATGGGCGCAATCGCCGAATCAGCTGGTTGGCTGACTGAGCTTTCTCCAGTTTGCTACCAGATTCAGCAGTTTCCCAAATGAGCTCATACCCACATCATTCATGCATAACACGCTAGACCGACCGGGACCGGTGCGTATGTATTGCATGCTAGGGAGCTCAGAATGGCAGATGGGCGAAGGGGCGTACTCAACGTACGCAGGAGGCAGCAGCAGTGGGAGCAGTCCCGTCGTTGTCATCGTCGTCGTAACACCACGCGGCCACTAATCCATTCCCCTTCATGGACAGATGTCGGTCGCATGCATTCATTCCTCCTGTCAATCAATAGCTCCCCATATTCCCAAACGAGTAAAACGCAGTTGTCAATGTTGTTGGCAAGAGTCCAAGGATCAATACATTTAACAAACACGAAAAACCACAACGCCCATTCAGAACGAAGCACTCATGGGAGAAAAAAAAGCAGCAGGAAACATTAAAAGGGTAGCGCTCAATAATAGAACTCTTGCACGGCCTACGAGGCCAAGCCACAATGAAAGTTCGGTGTGCAGTAGGAGATCAAAGAGTAGTAGGAGGAGGAAATGGAAAAGAAAAATAGGAAAAAGAAAATGTAAAAAGGCAAAGACAAAAGCTCACCCTCTCTAAAACAGCAGCCTGATGCTGAGTGAATGTAGTTCTTTTCCGACGGTTCTTGCCATTTTCACCAGGGCTTGAAGCAGCTGGTTCAGGATCAGAGTATAAACTCCTTAACAGCGAGAACTACCGGTAAAGTCGCCTCAGGGAAAACACTGGGACTATGAAAATCTCCTAGAAAAAATGAGAAATTCAAAGACGAGTTACCTGAGCGGCTTTGTATCCGGCATGGAGACCAACAGCTGATCAGGGCGATAGTAAGGTTTAAAAGCTGAACCGGCGCTAGTCATAGAAAGCATTTCCTCCCTGAAAAAACCCTGGCTTTCTTAATGCATGCACGAAAAAGGAATAGACGCCTATGATTAGACGAAAATCCAATCAACATGTACTTTCCATCAAGAGAATGATCAAGAACTAACATTGGATTGCAGCCTAATAGGGTAATAGATGGGAGCACCATTGCATTAATGTTTGAAACGGCCTCCCCAGTGCTCTCAGCTCACCCCCAGCCCTCTCTCGCGCTCACCCACCCCCCTCGTTCAACGGCGACGGACCACGCCCACAACCCTTTTGCGCACACACACGCTCCTGCCAAGAGCAGACCCCCGTTGGACCGATAATGACTCGTAGTACTTTGTCAATGCTGTAATTATATCTGAGCTCTCCATTAGAGCAAGCACCGCGTATCGTGACACCTTGGGCTAAACACCCAACACTTGAGAAACCGATAGGTCACATTCCCAAATGGGATCGAAGGCTAGACTGTTGTCGAGTAGGTCTAGGCCAAAACAACGGCCATCAATAGGAGGGCATAGCCAATTCGATAGAAGCACTGAGTGGTCAAACATTACGCCGTCTTCTTCCGGACTGATTGTAAGGTCCAGGTGGAAGACCTTTCAGGTGGGAAAGAACGTTGAGGACATTTCGTAGAACAAAGCAATGACTGTGGATTGGAAAAGACGTCATCACCCTGCAAATTGAATGCAAAATGAATTCGAAGGATTGCAAGTTGTTTCATGGGAACCCATGACGTCTATTTTGATCCCACTCTTCAAGTGGTCTGGGAGTGCAGCTCGTTTCAGGAATGCCCCAATAATTACCGAAGCCCTTCCAATAAAAGTAATTACTTCCAGACAAACCAACTGTAAGCAGATAATATCTGCTGACCTCCGACACCTCATTTCGATACTTTAATTACTCACCTCCCATAAGGAAAATGTGTCGTTAAATAAAGATATTGGTAATTAAAGATAAACTATTCAGAGGGTAGTAGTAATTACTGCGGACAAACATATGCTTCCGATTCATCTGCCTTGTTATGAACTGAATGATTTATGATGATCAAAAGAAGAAAACCGTTCGATTTGATCATTCGATACACTCCAAGAATCCGTCTACTATTATGGGGTTACGATTACAGGTTATGGCTTCCAACCCGAAAACCGACGAAGCCGATTTACTAGATGACCATGCTTCACTTTGGACAAGTGGGCACCTATAAGGATCTTGTTGGGTATGCTGGACAGGTGGAACACCTATAGAACCTTGCGGGGAACGTCTACGAGCCCATCAGTGAAAGCTCTCGTGCTGAACATTGCCTCTTTTCAAAAACGTCCCCTCCCCGTTCCTTATTTCTATCCATCTAAACAGGGTGCGGGAACTCTAACTCTGATGAGAGGTTTTCTATTAAGTATTTTTATTATTCATAATTATTCTACTTATTTAATTAAACTCTGGATTTCTTTTGTTTTCTATTGGTATTAAATTTCATTTAGTTCTTTCTATAATTCCATTTATAGAAAGCTGACGGCAGTATTCAATATAGGATGAGACCTCTTTAAAAAAGTGGAAACGAAAAATGAAAATTTCGAATTTGAAACTTCTGGAGGGCAGTAAATAGCCCCAGTAGGTGCCCTACGTATAAGCCAAAAGCCGACCGATTTTGAGGTCTCCCCCACTTTCCCATCCTAATATGGAATTTTACAAAAATTCATAATTATAATAATAGTGAGGAAGGTCTGTAGCTTTATACAAAAGAGCCTATGGCCCAGAAAAAACCTTCTGGAAACGAGGCTTTGGAGTTTGGGATAATGAAATTACAATATCGAAAAGCGTACCTTGAAACATTGTTCTAAGCTAGACAGAGGCTCACGTGATGCCGCCGCAATGAGTGTGAGCTTTGTGGAATTTCCACCATTGGTCTCCTAGACGACCTTATCCGCTGCTGGCTAATTGGTAGCGCTGGCTCGGTTGTAGATATAAGCACGTATAGCGAGGAGGCATAGATGTGGAACGAAGCCAATTTCCACGCTATCCTATTCCTCCCTCCAGGCAATCTCCTACGATGTCTAACAAGGTTATTTTTGGAAATAATTAAAAGTACTATGGGCATGCCAAATTGAAACACATCAGTCAAATACTTTCAGAAATCCATTTTCTTACTTTCTTTCTAAATTTCATGTAGAACCTCAAAATAGATCCGGTCTCACTGGAACCTATAGCGAATAGCCCTATGATCCACATTTCGATGGAAGACTAGCTGTAAGTTTGCGTTTCAACCTCCATGGTTTTCTACAGTGGGATGGGAAAAATTTAGGCTAAAATCATTCCTAGATCCTCCGCAATGGTAATAGTCCGAATTGATCCCCTTATGAAGAATTGTAATTGAGATAGCACTTAGGATTCCTGTTTGATCACTTCTGGTAGTAGTAACCTTTTTTTGCTTTTTTGCTAGTCCCTTTCCTAGCTCCATCTCACACTATTCCCTCTGCTATGTAGCCATTCTATCCATCCATTCAAGAAAGTTCACGTTAACGCACTATTCGGGAGAATAGGGTGATTCGTGGGAATGAGTATGGGCACGCCAATGGAGCAGAGCCTCTCGTTGACATTTTGCCAATGGGTTTATGGAAACGGTGTCTGGTTACGGTATGTCAATCATTCAGCTATTAAAGTTTGAGTAGATTGGAGTTTTCGACTCATTAGGGTCGCTGGCTGGCCTCGGAGTAGTTTACTGCCCAGTCCTTGGCCTTGTTTCAGTTTCTTAACTACCTTGAGCCGCTGTCGACGGCATGGCGCATCTCGAAAAACTGGTCTGATGATATTTCGAGATTTTAGAAGTACATAAAAGCTGATCATGAATACATTTGTATTCATAGTCAGCTCGAATATTTGAGTTAATGACACCATTTTGCATTGATTATCATTCCAAAAATAATAATATTTTAATTAAAAATTGAATTATTTGTAGTGAAAATTCATACTGTGGTGATATTTTTGTTCTGAAATGAGTAAACTATTATGATTGTGCTAATATAATTACGCTTGGGAAACTATAAATACAAATTTAATTTGTTTGCTCAGTGATTTGCCAGGAAATAGGCAATACCTCATTACGGCCCCAAATGATCCCATAGAGCTATAATTTCAGATTAATTTCACTCCATTGTTCTTACAGCTGGTTATCAGATTGTTCAGAGAATTATCTCGAAATTGAGCACAAAAATGGCAAACAATTATGACGGCCAACGTATTCTGAAGTTCAGAACTTATTTCCGAAATCTTTAAATACATCCATACTACTTTTAATCTGCCCTAATCGGCTTCAAGCTGCAGGAGTTAGCTGGAGACCCTTTCAACCTGCCATTTTTAGCATCAAGCTATGAATTAAGGGAAAGTGCGATGTTGTGATCTAATCGGGATGTTTGACTTGACTAGTAACAAGTCCTAGGGGCAATGCTATCCATAGATGTTTGGGCTTGCGCCACCCATAGGGAGCTGTCCAATACTCAACCCACTGATTGCATCCTGTCAAACACATTCAGCCCCCTAATTATACGAGTTGGGACTGACTACTCAATTGCCGATGCCATTGAGTACTAGCCGCCTTTTGCTATGTCACCACATCTGACGTGGGAACGGACACTAATTTGATTCGAATGAATCCCAAATGGAGCTCTGGGCCGGGGGAAGTATGGGAGACATCGCACCGGCCTAGGTAGTATAAGGGATAAGAGCACGGTGCCCGGATAGCACGAGTACAGGTTCGGGTCCCGTCCGAGGCCGACGTTTTGGCCATAACCCGCCAACCTTGTGAGTCACAGCACCAACTGGGAATGGAGGCGGTCTCATAAATTGTGATTGTTTGTGACAACAAGTGCCCTTGGAAACTTGTTTATCAGAGGCAACGGAGGTGCTAGGCAACGGAATACTGTAAACAGGATGAAAAACCCTTTCAAAGTCCTACGAGTGGTTCCCGAGAAAAGTCAAAAAGGTTAAAAATTATCGGATGAGTAATGGGAAAGGCTCTTCGGGTGAATAACTTCCCAGTACTCGTCCCTAATTACATATTATCAAATTAAGCTTTAATAATTACAACCACAAGTTCATAAGTTCAAAAGAGTAATGAGTGTGAATCTAAGCGAGAAACGACAGAATGTCTAGGTGGCTGGGAAGGCTGTTCGGCTGAGGACGACTCATCCAGGCTGTCATGTGCAGCGCTGATGAACCTAAAGCGGCTTTCAGTAAAACGTTGCAATTAAGCGGTACACAACATGACTAATTGCTCCTTCCCAGATGGTAACTATCCAATTCCCGACTGACTACAAACAGGCAAAGGTCATGTCAATCCGGGAATTGAATTGGACACCGGGAAACAGTTTGAAGATGTGTATATCTTAAAACTACCCAGTCTATGCACCCAAAAGTCAAAAAGGCAATAAAAACAATGGGAGTTTAATCATTGCTACATCAATCTTACAATTAATCATTGTAATAGAGTTTGCAAGAGGTTGCTCAAGTTTCAAGGAAGGTCATTTCATCTACAAGCTGGCTGGCTTTAGAACGGAGTTGGAGCTCAGGACGGAGGGCGACTCTGTCATATGTATATCCGCGGGTTCGGATCCTGACCACGCAAATCATGCCGCTCAATCCTCGTACATCTTCGAACTCACATAAGATTTTTTTGGAACAACAAAACATCTAGCGTACTAATCAACCGTTTTTCATTAATTGTTTTGTACAGCCAAAGTGCTCTGAGAGTCAATTAGGAATTCAAAAGAAGAAGTCAAATAAATGGCGTATTCCGCCCAGTGGTTTAGTCATTCACGCGGCGCTGTGTTAATTGGAGCATCACCGGAATTATTTACATAAAAACAAAAAGAAGTAATTAATCAGCTGACACATTGCACTTTTTCGGAATAATCAGGCATTATAAGAATGTAAAAATGCTTGGGAGTATTAACATACTCAAATGATGGGGAGGGGGAGGGCAAGAGAAGGGCAAAAAGTGCCTCGAATA